CACACACACACACACACACACACACACACACACACACACATACACGCACGCACACATACACGAGGCGCCCTTTTTCTTTCTTCCTCCTTCTCTCCTTTCCTTCGTCTTTTCATTTTGTTTTCCCTCTTTTCTTGTTTCTTCCTTTCCATTTTATTCTTTGTTTCCTTTCTTTGAAAATCTCCCCTTCTTATAAAAATAACACATGCTTCTGCCAGAAACACCAAAGGATCCAAGAAGAAACTAAAACCAACCCTGGGTGGCTTCCCAGTGCACCTGCTTCTCTGTCCCCTCCCCGCGTGTAATTGCATACCCTAAAAACAGCAGCGATGGCCCTTTTGTAGCCTGCGGTACCAGTTTAGTGGCCATGCGCCCCCCTTCCCACACCCCCTTCTTTCCCTGCCAAGTACAAGTTTATTGTGATCACTGAGAAAAAGGGGGCCAGACAATGCTGGGGTGACACGTGCAGCAGGGTGTCCCTTACCATGGACAAGGCCAGGCTGAGCCACCACCGCACAGCTCTGTCCTTTCTGGCCACGAAGTGCACATTGAAAGATGACCCAGCCAGGTGAGGACACGGGCACATCTTAAAATATGTCAGCTTTGCCACACTTTGCTAAACTGCCTTGCAGAGAGGCGATTTGATTAGTTTTGTATTTTCCCAGTTCTCCCCCTCTTCTTTATATTTAAGTAAAAAACACATCGATAACACATTAATCCATCATCATTATTAAATCTAAAATACAGAACATAGAACAGAAAACAAAATCCTCTCTGAGTGCAAGATTTTTTAACTGTAAATCAGGGCTCAGCCATGAGTCATGAAATCAATTTATCTGATCAAGTCAGGCATTTCAAAGCACCAAAATAGAATAAATAAAATGAAAATACCTGTGTCTATTTCTCCTAAGGAGTCAGTTTCCAGCCACTTTGGTTTCAGTGGTGCACTTCGTGTGTGTGTGTGTGTGTGTGTGTGTGTGTGTGTGTGTTCCTGTGTGTGTATAACCAGGTGGCTGAGGTGAAGTCTTTTTCTGTAGGAGCAAACTGTTAGGATGCATCTGTGAACCCTGTGACTGTCATCTGGCAAATCCCTGTGACCTGTGGGCTGGCTGCCCCTCCAGATTCCAGTCACCCAGTCTCGACAGAACATGACATTCTCACACAGGTTTTCCATGATGGGGACTGTGTTCCACAGGGTCTGATGACCGCTCCAAGGACCCTACACACTCTGGTGCCCTGCCCTTGCCCTGGCAGCTGGGCCTGCATGACTGGTACCTGGTGCCATCTTGATGGCTGAGCACCCTCCCCCTTGAGGAACTCAGCTCTGTCCCCACGGAGTGTGGGGGTCTGTGGAGAGGAGGAGATGAGACCGCCACGGTTGTTGTCACCAGCATCCAAGGCCCAAGTGGGCACGGTACTGTTCATCCTTGGGCAGGAAGAGAGGAGACACAGTGAATGAGCTCAGGGAAAGGTATTTGCCCCTCCCCAGGAAGACACAGAGAAAGGGTGTCCTTAGTGGGAGCCATAGCAATACCCTGGACACTGGAGAGCAGGAGGGTAGCAAGGTCTCAAGGACTGGCACAGAGCCGGGCCACCATAGGCAGAGCTGGAGAAGCCAGTCTGCTGTCCCTGCTGAGCCTATGGGAAGGGGAACTTCAGGTAAGGCAGTGGGGCAGGGGGTCTGAGGGGGTCAGGCAGAAGAAGCCTCAGAGGCCTGGCTGCAGTGGGCATCCATCTATCTGATGCCCGCAGCTTGGGCCCTTCCAGGCAGGCTGGCATCCCCTGTGGCCCAGCAGCTCTCCCTGGAACTTACCTGGAGGAAATAACCAGCAAGTGAAGGAGGAGGGAGACCACCCGCAGGAGTAAGGACAGGAGGAAGTGATGTCAGTGTTTGGTCCAGGGCCAGGTGGGAGGCAAGGGCATTCTAGCTGGTCACCTCCAAAGCTCCGCTTCGATGCATATGACATTGCCCCAAGTCCTGGAGGAGGAAATGGAGCTCACCAAGTTCGCAGTGAACTGGGCCCAGGTGCTTGGGGCTGACCCATCCCTCCACATTCATAGATGGGAGTCCCAACCACCAGCTCCGTGGCACGAGACCTCATTTGGAATCGAGGTAAAGAGGTGATTAAGTTGAAATGAAGTCACTGGGGTAGGCCCAATGCAGTCGGCCTGGTATCCCAGAAGAAGGGACACACAGGGAGAGGGGAAAGGCCATGTAAGGGTGCACCAGGGAGTCGTCGGGCTGTGAGAGCGCGGCCACCTCTGCTGGCAGGGCAACAGGGTGGGTTGTTTAGGGCTGGGTCTGTGGGACTTTGCCATGACAACCCAGGCGATCCTCTGTCACCTCAGCCCTGGGCTTAGCGCCAGGCTCCAGGCACAGCACCCTTTTCCAAGGGTCTCTGTTGTGGCTAAGTGAAACACTGCCTCCAGGATAGCATCTGCATCGGGCGCTGAATATGCATGCTCTTTTCCAAATTTCCACAAAGATGCACACGCTCACACGCACACAAACAGAGCTCTGGAAAAATCCACCTGAGGTAGTCACAGTCGGCACTGTGTGGGTGGGATTATGAGTGTTTTCTTGCTTTTCTTCTTGCTGATCCATAGCCTGTGATTTTTCTGTAGTGAACACGTATTGCTCTTATGACAGAAAAATACACCTCAAAACAGCAGAAACAGTGGCGATGGCGAGCAGAAGCCTGGGGTGGGGGCTGCGCCTGGCCTGAGAGGGCCGCAGGCATGGGGAGAGGGCAGGCATGGGGGACAAAGTGAGTTTCAGGTAAACACACAGGTGATGTTTAGCGCAGCGGGTCCCAAACCAGCATGAGGTGTGCTACAGTTACCTTATATCTCACTCACTGTTTCCCTGACATTCCAGTTTAACTGCATACTGTGAGTCCTTTGCTTTTTAATCTAACAACCCAAGCGGAGGAAGGGTGAGCAGCAGGGACCCTGAGGGGTGGTCCTGGAGCTCAGAGGACTGTGACCTGCACAGGGGGCTCCCGAGGTGGCCAACTCTCCAGGCTATGTCTGGTGACCTGGAGCCAAGGAGGAAGTGGTCAGCAGCACTGCAGCGACAGTGCCCAGGGAAAGGCACAGGACCCTTGTCCGAAAGCTGGGGGAAGCAGATGTGGAAGCACATGCCTGTAATCCCAGCATGCTCAGGAGGCTGAGGCAGGAGGGTGGCAAGCTCAAGCCCAGGGCAACTTAGTGACTTATGAGAGACCTTGCCTCAAAGTAAGAAATAAAAAAGGGCTGGGGATGCAGTTCAATGTGAAGGCCCTGCATTCAACCTCTAGTACCAAAAGAACAAACA